ATGACACTTTACTTAAACTAGAGGTTATATGCTCTTTATGCTGCAGAATGAGAGAAAAAAATACATGAAACTAAATTAAAATGTAAAAACAGTTGCATAGGCTTCTTTTATTTAAGTCCAGTAATAATCAAAATCTGTGCATGCTAGAAGAAAAAGGCAGGACAGGAGCAACCACTTTCTTGATCAAGTCCTAAAGCATTTTAAATCTGAGAATTTATTAACTGTAGGGCTGATAATACAGTTAAAGTCCTCATAAACATCACATTAGGGAATAAAAACTATAGTTATTATAACAGTTGTTGTATTTTTACAATTATTAACTGGACATACTCACCGAAGAGACTTTAGGAGAGACGCAACAGGTTCAACGATCCTCTACGGCTGGCAACGTAAATCACAGTAAACTCCTGAATGAACTGAGATTGTTGTGACCTGTTGTTGGTTTAAGAAGCTCGGCTGATCAACAGCAGAGACCCAATCCCGATCACACCTGACGAAATTTAAGCCTTCTCTTCCATACTTTATATAACAGCCCATAATAACCACTGGATAAAGCCCCGCCTCTAGCGCTGTGTAGCCAAAACATCTACAAGTGAAAACTCCATCTGCAGGCATAGGGGAGAGGAAAGCTTAAATATTAATCAAACTTCGTTCCTGACATTCTTCAGGCGGTCACCCTAGTGGTTTGCATGCATTTATTTTATTTTAAAACTAAAAGTTTTCTGTTAAAAAGTCAACTGAAATGGGCAGACATGGTAAAGTTTAAAAAGAACATTGCTTTTAATTTTATTTATTTATTAATTGTCTAACTGGCCCAAAGAAATTGATTTAAATAAACGTCCCAATATTATGATATCATTACTACTGAGTTCTGCTATTTATATATTTTGCCAGCTTGTCTTATATTCAGGGTTGGTTTTATGTTTTGTTTATATAACGTTTACTATTATTATATGTTTGTTTATATTTTGTTCACATTTTTAAAAGTATAAAAATCAAATCAACAGCATATCAAATTCTCATACAACATTAAAGTGCACAAGATTTTAATTCCCTCTAAATACAGCTTTAAAAGGTCACATTTAGCCTGAACCACAAATTCATGCTGATGTCATATCTTGCTCTATGGAGTACTTTTACTAAATGATTTGATTGGAGCTTCACCAGAACAGGTTTTTCAGGAAGGAGTCAGATTTCGATACAACCGGCCCACGGAGCAAGGAGACTACTTACAAGCGGCTGCTTAGGGCTCCGTGGCCACCAGAGGGCCCCCAAGACTGCATAAAATAACTCTCGTTTTTGTTTAGATTTTTTGGTTGTCAATAGATAATAGCGGTACTGCAAAACAAATCATTCAACGAAAAATGTCATATTTTGTTAACGGGCTGCTGTAGGATGCACGCACAGAATATGACCACACAGAGAGTGACCATTGAAGATGCTTGAAGCAGCAGTGGAGAGGAGGGCAGCACACTTTATACCACAAAAATAAGAACATAAACCGAAGAGAGAAAAAAAAACTGCAAGATTAAGGTAAAATGAGAAGATTAGGCTACAGACCACCCTGAAAAAATCCTCAAATAGGCTAAACTACATAAAGATTTGCGTTTGCCTTCTCTGTAAAACTTTTCTTGGACATATATATATATTTTTAAATTCCAACGAAAGCTGTTTTTAGAGCTATTTTAGGTCAGCTGGCATTTCTGTGTGGAGTTTGCATGTTCTTGTTTTAATATTATATTTATAACAGTTTTTTATACATACAAAACAGAATAAAAACATTTACATTCATACAATCTATAATGTTTTTATACAAATAAGGGAAAAACTAAGAAAAAAACTTAAGTGAATCAATAATAATAAAATAAAATAAAAAAACAAGCACTAGTCCATCAAAACATGCACCATATAGAGTAAATAATAGAGTTTGCATGTTCTGGGTCATTTTGCATTTCTGTGTGGAGTTTGCATGTTCTCACAGTGTTTGCATGGGTTTCCTCAGAGTACTCTGGTTACCCCCACAAGTCCAAAAAAATGTGGTATAGGTGAATTAAGCTTAAATTGTCTTTAGTGTATGTGTGTGAATGAGTGTATGAATGTTTCCCAGTGATGGGTTGCAGCTGGAAGTGCATTCGCTGCGTAAAACATATGCTGGATAAGTTGGTGGTTCATTCCACTGTGGCGACCTCAGATTAATAAAGGGACTGAGCAGACAAGAAAATGCATGAATGAAAACACTGCAAAAATGCTTTCCTTAGTTTTCTCGTTTCTAATCCAAATAACTCAAACATTTTAAACCAATAAGTGTTTTAGACAGATTTGTAGTAAAAATTATGGTAAACACACAAGCAAAAAGGAAAAGAAGCTGCCAATTAGTGCAAGTAAAATCTATATTTTATTAAACTCATTGGATTATTTAGCTTGTTTTTTTTGCAGCTTATTCACTTTTACAGTCTAAAACAACATGATAAAGTGTAACCACCCACATTACAAATCCCAAAATATATTTCAATGCATAAAAAAATACATTTACAATTGCAAGTATTTATTTTATTAAAATGATTTGAATTGCTTTGCAAAACAGAGCAACAGAAATGCATCTATTCCGTGTCCGAATGTTTTCTATTTATAAAGAACATTGATTCTGAAAATAGAATATATATATATATATATATATATATATATATATATATATATATATATATATATATATATACACACACACACAAATTTACAACATAAATTATACACACACACACACACACACACACACACACACACACACACACACACATATATATATATATATATATATATATATATATATATATATATATATATATATATATATACACACACACACACACATACATTTGAAGTCAGAATTATTAGCTTCCCTGAATTATTAGACTGCTTGTTTATTTTTTTCCCCAATTTCTGTTTAATGGAGAGATTTTTTTCAACACATTTCTAAACATAGTAGTTTTAATAACTAATTTCTAATAACTGATTTATTTTATCTTTGCCATGATGACAGTATATAATATTTGACTAGATTTTTTTCAAGACACTTCTACACATCTTAAAGTGACATTTAAAGGCTTAACTAGGTTAATTAGGTTAACTACAGGTTAGGGTAATTAGGCAAGTTATTGTATAACAATGGTTTGTTCTGTACAGTCGAGAAAAAATATAGCTTAAGGGGAGACATACTGTGAATACTTCCTTGCTCTGTTAAACATCATTTGGAAAATATTTTAAAAAGAAGAAAAAAATTTAGGGGGCTTCAACTGTGTGTGTGTGTGTGTGTGTGTGTGTATATATATATATATATATAATGAAATTAAAATGGTTGAATATTTTCCATAGTGCGAGAATGTTCACATTACATTCATTTGTAAATCGTGTTTTTGGATGTTGATGTTATTTGGATGAGAAAACTCCGTATTAATCTAGTCTAGGCATGGCCCGGTATAATCTTCTGACAGTATGATAACCTTGGATCAAAAGAACAGTATTGTGATCACTGCTCTAAAATATGCTTTGAGTAAAAAACAACTTTCCCCTCTTATTGAAAACAATATATCTTATATTAAGAAACATTTAAAATATTTTGAAACAGTAAACAAGTCAGGCTAAATAATTTAAATATAATAATTATTATAAAAATTAATAAAATGCTGTGGATGTGTAATCAACAAACTCCTTGCGCATGATGCTTTCCTGCTATGTTACCACAATTTATACTCTACTACCAGAATGGAGATTTCCCACAGTCTAAAGGTAGCATGGCTTGGCTTTAATAGAATAAGAAAAATTAATTTTAAAACTATTTTTTATTATTCTAAGAAAGAAACAGTGAAGTGGTTATTTAATATCAGGGGTCCACATATGCACTGGATAAAAAAATAAATAAATGAACTGGCTGAAACTTTAGGCCACAGTTACATATCATTTCTACATTTTAGACTAAGGGTGCTTTCACACCTGTGAATCGATTCAGTTGTTCCGAAACAGAGATTACAATTGTTACATTGTTGCTCTTTGCTCTTGGAGCGGTTCGCTTTCACACTGCAAAGTTTCTAATCAGACCAAAAGAGCTAACATTGGTCAGGGTGTCAGGGTTTATTTTGCAGTGTCCCGCTAAGCTGTCAGGAGAGGTGGTGGTTTGGTGGTGATTGACAGGGTGTGCGCGCGCGACGTGTCTGAGGAGAGACGCGGTGGGGAGGGGTGAGAAGGGTGCGCGACGATGCCTATTTGAGGACCGGGAGGGAGACGCGAGATTACCGGGAGATCATCACTCGTTTGCAGGCATCCGGAGACTCGTGATTCTCTCAACTCATAATTCACTCTTCATTTAGCCGTAAGCCTATTACATATCCATAAAACACTGTGATATAACCGCGCTCGGATCGGATCGCTTTCTCACTGCAATCGAACCGCTCCAGGATTTGTTTCAATTGAGCCGAGACCACCTCATTCAAGTGATCTCGGAGCAGTTACTTTGGCGCGGAACAGATCGCGATTGCCCTGTTCACATATGCCAAATGAACCGCACTAACTGGGCAAACGAGATACGTTCCGAAACAAAAGTGTAGGTGTGAAAGCACCCTAAGTATCATATAAACAGATGGTGCTGTCCACAGCCTCAATGCAGGATTCGGGAATGCATGAATGTGCATCTTACATACCTTCACTAAAATAACTTTGGATAAAAGTGTCTATCAACTATGTAAAACATCCTTCTCCTTTGTGTTCCTCTGTTTTTAGTCCAAAAATATTAATATGAGTAAATCGGTGGTGGAAAAATGGTAAGAAAATATTACATATACAAGTTTAATATTTTAAATGACCACCCCCAGATATAGCGGTTAATGTTCAGATGGCTGTAAAGAAAAGGTCTTTCTTTTTTGTATGCATTTATGCTCTGATTATGCATCTGGAAAAAAAAAAAGAAAACAATATGTAGCGCATCAGAAAAGTCACACTGACACATTTAGTAACTTTGTTTTACACATTTTACTTTCATCAGATGAAACAATGAAGTTTAGAATAGTTTTAGAGAATCTGTTTTGACATAAAATGTAAATAAGGCATTTCTTCTTAGAGAGATTATAACCGAAGACAGACATTGCTGAAATCAAAGGAACACATCAATCATAGTGCATAAGAAAAATTTCATATATTAAAAAAAACATTCATTCTTTATGTGTTCAGTTTATAGCCTGCAATATACATTAACTGTGTAAACTAATGAACTTCTCTGTAAAAAAAAATAGTAACGATTACACAGATATACACCTCTTATTTATGCGGTTTATGCTTGCTTGGCCCTACTTGCACACAATACTGACTTTCATCTTTGTTTTACTTTCACTTGCTTAGATTCCTTTCTTCTCTACCTTCCCATGGACACTATGGGTGGGAGTTTTAATGTCATTATATATTCTGTTTTACATGATAGCAAATATAATGTAAAAATGGAATAATCACTTGCTCCCACCCCCAAATCAGTTGTTCATGTTTCCAAATCCAACTCTGACTCCACCTTTTCATTTTCTAATTTACATTCTGTCCCTTCTTTACCTTTCATGCTGTTCTCATTTTCCAGCACACACCAATGCCTGTAAAATTCAACAGAACTGTGGATGTGTAATCAACAAACTCCTTGGGCATGCTGCTTTCCTGCTATGTTACCACAATTTATACTCTGCTACCGGATTGGAGATTTCCCACAGTCTAAAGGTAGCATGGCTTCTGTCTGCAACTGAGGACATAAATAAAATAAAAATATTTATCATTTCCGAAAGCCAGTGACATGCATTCCCATGAATGTGACTCACTTACACTAAACCAGTGTATAAAAGTGCAATATGCCTATCTGTACATAAAGACTTTTTTTGGTATCTCAAAAATCGCAGTGAGAGACTAAGATCTAAATAAAACCTGGGTTATCTGCAATAAAACTCAAAGGTTAATAAACCATTCATGCATGTTTTTCATTCCTTTGTCAGTTTCTCAGAGTTCTCTGTCTGTACTTCCTGTCCGGCAGTTTGTACAGTCTCTGTTTGCACACTATCAGACTTGGCTGCAGATTGGGCCTCTGCAGAATTCTGAACAACACTCTCAACCTTACCATTGGGTTTCTTAGCGATAGGTGGAGGAACCTTGTTAGCAGTCTTGTGCAAGTCATTAGACTTGGCTGATTCAGTGACAGATGTGAATTCTGACACTAGAGTCTTTTTCAGATCAGCCTGAACCTCCAAGGATGATGGTGTATCTATTACAACTTTCTTTGTGCTCTTGGAGAAGATGAAGCTGGCTGTAGATGCAGGGGAGTTGGTTACAATGGCTGCTGGAGGGGAACGCAGACCAAATAGCTTGGCTTGGTTGTCTTTTGAAGACATAGCGGCAGCCTTCAGACGAATTGCATCCTGGAGACGCATGGAGGGGTTAGCTGCTGAAGATCCTACCGGAGGTGTGGAAGTGGCAAGAGTTGTTGGTGTTTGGATTTTTGGCTGTTCAACATTAATCTTTGAAGGTATTTCAATGATGCTTGATTGTTTATCTGAATTATGCTGGGTTTTTGGGAGTCCTTGAGGCTGAAGTTGAGTCAATGGCTTGCTAACTAATTGGTCCTTTGGCACTGTTTTGGTTGGCAAGGATTCTGTGACAGGTACTGAAGGCTGGATTTGTTCCTTGAGGGTTTGAGGTTTGAGGTGTGGTTCTGCAATAGGATGTGTAGCCACTGATTCAGTAGGAGCTGAAGCGGTACTTGGTTCAGTAGGTGATGAGCATGTTGGCTCTACTCTTGTTTGGTCAATGTGGTTTGATTGAGGCTCTGATTCAGTTACTCCTTGCTGAGTGTTTGTTACGGTGGTTATGTTTGCATGTACAGTGTTGGATGGAGATTCAGTTTTTGGTTCTGTGCTGGATAGAGATTCCAGATCAGGAGGCAGTGATGTTAGAATCAAAGACCGTCTAATTGGCTTTGGGGGTGCTTCTTGATTGGCACCAGATTTTGGTTTGGCTTGAGATGGTTTATCGAGATCTGCTGCCTGAGTCTGATTGGACTTTACTGACCTGAGACGAACCATCTGCAGGAGAGACTGAGTGACCATGGGACTGGAGGATTCCTCTTTGGCTGGAGAGGGACTGCTTGTACGTTTCTCGACTTCCATGGTCTCCAATTTGTCCTTCTTTCTTACATCAGTAGATAGTGGAAGAGGAGGAGGAGCAGCAGGAGAAATATTTACTTGCTGAATTCTTTCATCAGCGGGTAGTGAAGGAGGAGCAGGTACTATGACTTGTTGAGATTTTGCATCAGCAGGTTGTGCAAGATGAGGTAAAATGATTGGTTGAGATTTTGCATCTGAGGGTTGTGGAGGAGGAGGAGGTACAATTATTTGTTGAGATTTTGCATCAGCAGGTAGTGGAGGTGGAGGAGGAACAATGACTTCTTCAGATTTTGAATCAGCAAATAGTGGAGGAGGAGGAGGAGCAATGATCCGTTGAAATCTTGCATCAGTGGGTAGTGAGGGAGGAGGAGGAATGCTGACTTGACACTTTACATCAGTAGGTAGTGGAGGAGGAACATTGGCTAGTTGAGCTCTTACATCGTTGGGTTGAGGCAGAAGTGGAGGAACATTGATTTGTTGAGAAGTTACAGAAGATGTCACTAACACATTCTGTATCAAAGTTCGGGATTCTTTTGGAGGAGATGGGATTTTCTGTGGTTCAGATGGTAGTGTTAGTGGAGGTGGAGCTGCCTGTGCTGGTGGAGGTGGAACTGCCTGTGGTGGTGGAGGTGGAACTGCCTGTGGTGGTGGAGGTGGAACTGCCTGTGGTGGTGGTGGAGGTGGAACTGCCTGTAGTGGTGGAGGTGGAACTGCCTGTGGAGGTGGAGGTGGAACTGCCTGTGGTGGTGGAGGTGGAATACCTGGTGGTAACTGAGGCAATGATTGTAAAGTCTTTGGCGAAAATGGTGGGGGTGGTGGAGGGAAATCTTTATCATTTGGCACAGTGAAAGGGGCTGCAGCATCTGTACTTACTGGAGGTACAGGAGGTGCTGGAGGAGGAAACAGGGGAGGTGGAGGAATCCAAGTGGTCAATTCCTTTATAGCTTTGGCAGCTAGAGTAGGAGTTGAAGGAACAAAGTCTGGAGGGGGTGGTGGAGGATTGGCTTGGCTGATGACTGGCAATGGAGGGCAATGCTCCAGTAGAGGTGATGGAGATGGTGCGACACGAGAGTCTGAAGTTAAGGATTCAACTTTGCCTTTTAGCATCACTGGCTGCAGCTCTGATGCACTGGCACAACTGCCTAAAGCTAGGTCTGTTTCATCTGCAACTTTAAGACCTCTCTTTTTGGCCCACCGTGCATAGTTAATAGGTCCAGGCCCACACAGCAATTCAAAAGAACGCTGGTTGTGTGCCCAGGTCTCTGGTGGAGGAGCTGGGGGAGCCAGTACTTTGGGATGGGTGGGAATCTCTAGCAGAGACAAGAGGGCCATTACAGCTGGAGAGGAATTGTTACCATTATAAAGACTTTTTGCAGACAAAAGGGATTTCTTCAGTTCAGCAAGCTTACTCGTACCATTTGTTTGACCCTTATTTTTCTTTTCTGTGACTGCCTGGATCTCTTTTGACAGGGTAGTTCCATTGGAAGAATATAAGCCACTTTTAGGGCTTAACTCAGTCTTTGTTTCAGATGAAGTTATGATACAAGGGTACGGTGATACATCAGGAATGCTAACATCATCCAAGTCAGAAGGACCATCAGATTTCTTCCATGACTGTTTGCCATTGCGTAAGGAATATGACCTGTTGGGAGGAGGCGGAGGCATCTTGCCACGTTTAATTACAGATAGGTTACGAGTAAAAGTAGCAGCTTTTCTGATGTCCTCCTCCTCTGTAGAGTCCCCATTCACTTGACTAGGTTTAAAAGCAACATGGGAACTGTGATTGTTTAGCTTTGCAGCCACATTTGTGTGTTCAAACTGACTCCCTCTGCTGGCCACACGGGGAGTGCTACTGCTGGAGATGGTAGAGGAATTGGAAACTAGCGTCTCTGATGATCCTGAGTTGCTCCAGCCAGAATAGTCTGTACGAGTAGTGGAGCGATGTGAAGAGACTCTAGAGGATGCCCGGGTGGACGCTGGGCTGGCTGACACCAGGCTGCTCTTGCTGACAGTTCGGACACTGCTCCGACTTCGGCTGCGACTGAGTTCTACAACATCCACAGATGGTGGAAGTACAGCATTCGGAATGATTTTAGACAAATATGTGGCCTGAGGCGAGATGGACATCACTGCACCAGTTTGGTTCTCTGGAACACCTAAAGTGCCTGGATCTACAAATTGGTTCATGGACCTTTGGAGGATATCTTTGTGCTTTGCCAGCATGGGGACCTCTGTGTTGTTTTCCAAAAGTATGTGCAGGTTCTGTCCTCTCTGTGGATAGTCTTGTAAGCTTTCTTGTTCAGAGCTGCTAGAAACACCATCCACAGCAGTTATTATGGCGGGTATGATCACATCTCCATTGGACAGTTGGTAATCAAGAGCATTGGTGGTGATCCATGCTGCCCTGTCCAGCCCTTCAGAGACAAAAGCAAAAAAAATAAAAATATTAAGCATAATTAGTTTATCTTGAAGACATGCAACACACTGTAGAAGTGTAAAAATATACCCAGTTCTTTCTGGACGTGTCGAGGAATTCCAACTACATTTCTCACAGGCTTCCTACGAGTCCTGGGCTTCTCTGCAGACTTATCTGGTTTCAGAGGCCTGAATGTTGAGGCTGGAGAAAGGAAATGAGAATTTTTTCTTTGGCATTGTATATTTGAAATAAATTCTTTAAGCACTTTCTGCTTTTTATGGAAAAAATGGATATTAGTAAGAATGTGTTTTTCGTCACCTTGCCGTTTTAGTCCTGAGCGTGTTGATCGTGAAGAAATGGAGGAGCGCATTGAAACAGAATCGGCTGCTGTGCTCTCAGACTCAAAGCCTCTCAGCTCACTGAAGGCCATGCTGTCTTCAGTCTGAGCAGTTACTGTTGACTAAAGCAAATAGCACGGTTAACCATCAAATTTATAATTAGTTGTTATAAAAGCAGTTAAAAACATTCAAAATAGAAACAGAGTGTTGTATGATGCATAGACTAATACTTACAATCATGCTTTGGTCATCAGGGAAGTCCGTCCCATTCCTGTCATCTGGAACAAACAAATTAATGAAACAAAACATTACTTTCTAATTTATATTAAAATGAACTTATGTATGACAAAAACATGCACACATGTGGTTCTGAGTAAAAGTAAGTGTTTTTACAAAAGCAGACTGATTTTAAAGTCTTCCTACCCTCTTGCTGTTGCAGTTTCAGGCCCTGCTGGGCTTCTGTGTGGAGGTCCAACACATATTTAGGTCGATCACCCTCCACAAACACGTTTTCTTGGAACTGCTGAAGAGAAACGGTGCCTACAACCTCCTCTTTAAGGCCTGGAGAGAGAGAAAAACAAAAAGAAGTACATTTATTATGAAACAATATGTTAATAATGTATGATATAATAATACATAATATTTAATATAAATACAATTTAATAACTAATAGATAAATTCTGTCATGCAATCTGTCTGTTATATATATATATATTTTTATTTTATTTTAAATTTTTTCCCCAAGCTTTAACAAAACATTTTGTACAGTCAAGGTTTTGTTTTTCTCCTGTAATGATCCTTGCTGCTGAAATAAATTAACAAACACGTTAAAGTCTAATAAAATTAACACAGAAATAGATAAAATATAGTACTACATAATAGAAAAATTGTATAATAAAAATTTAATTAAATTAAAATAAACTTTACAGTATTGTATACATTTACAATTAGACAATGGCAATAGACACATTTATAGGGGTCTTCTACATAAATATGAAACCATTTGTCACCAAACAATATTGGTAATCACATTTAAACCTGTTTGCAGAGATTTCTTTCTAAAATCAGTCAAAGCGGAGAGTCTTCATTTTTTCAAAATATGTGATCACAGGTTGTCATCACTCATAAAATGTTTTGGATAGATCCTTTCATTAAATATTTAAATCTCTATAATTTCAAATATAAAACCAGATCACACATGCACAATGAAGGTTTAGGTGGGGTTATATTCTTCTCACTAAAAAAGTAACAAAGGCGATTTTCTTCCTTGTTTGTCAATGATATTTTGTGTTCTAGTGTATTTGATATTTTAAATAAGGTTTCAAAAACCACACACAAAATGCAATGCTGACTATATCAAAAGTATACAATATATGCTAGACGAAAAATAAAATAAACAGTGATTTCTGTTTTGTGTGGTATCTTAATGTTGAAGTACAGAAATTGAATAACAACTTACAAGTAATCTTTGTTTAAGCAACAAATGTTATTGTTTCAAATGTTATTGCCTGAATGCTTAAAAAAAATTATTAAGCTTCACAATTAAACCACAAAATCTCATGCTCTGGAAAATACGGTGCCTAGTCAACAGCAAGCTCTACTTGACATTTCATATTTAATGTGACAATTTTCTAATGTTTACATTAAAAATTGATGCTGAAAGAACACATTGAACAGCAAACAATATATTGATTTATATCTGTCTGACTTTTAGTTCTCTTGTGGTTTAGTGCCAATTCCTATTATATCACTTAATCAATGACAGCCTTCTAACATCGTTATAGCCAAACACTCAGTTAGCCTACATGCTAATTATAGCCTAAATTAACGAGATAGTTCACCAAAACTAAAAATTCAGTCATTATTTATTCAGTTAACTTTTACTCATTTCAAACCTGTTGGTTGAAAACCGGTAACCATTGACTTTCATATTGTTTATTTTTCGTATGGATGTTTGCAGCTTTCTTCAAAATATCTCCTTCTGTCAGGGTGTAAACTACAGGGGAGCTCGGCTCCTCTAAATAAGGCATGGGCTCTGATGAAAACATGATTTGTGAAATTTTGGGGGTCTCAAAAAAAATATTGACAATGTGTAATTTTGAAGTGCGGTTTCAGTATCGTGTAATGTGATCATGGATTATTAGGTGTAAAACAACAAAATTATCATTCATTTATGCATGACGGCGATTTACACCTCGCTTAAAAATAGATAGCATGCTATTCTTGCCATCAAGGTGTGGCGGCGCAGAGGAGCATGTCAAAAACTGACAGCCAGATGCTTTCATATGGACGTTGAGACACTGCTTGTTCATTTTCTGAAACCAATGATGTGATGTTGCCTTTTATTTTATTTGTTATTATACAGTAGGCCAATACAATGATATTTTTTAAACACTGTGACATTGCTGTAAACATGTTGTACAATTAAGCTGAAAGCAGGTAAACTTAACAAAATGAAACCTCTTTCAATGGCGTTTCTTTCATTCATTTTGGCGTTTCGGGATCCCATGACATTCTATAGGCCTATGTAAAATAAAAAAAGCATTTGCTGTCCTTGGTGCCATCATCTTGAACTTATAGAGCAATAACAAAAATGATGAGGTTATTAAGCGTTTCACTTGTTAAGTAGAAACATATTCGTGTTTGTTGATTTTATTTAAATGAATGTATTCCTCTCACAGAATAATTGCAGGTAAAATAAGACAGCGCTGTTCTGTTGTTTAGGCTGCTGTCTGTGCATGTAAAAATAAATCCCTCAAAAGATATTTTCAAGGGTCAAGAAAGTTATTGATGAGAAAACAAGCACTTTTTAGCAAGAAAGTAAACCAAAACTATAGTGGTGTTTTGTTCAGTCAGCCTACTTTGTAATATTAGTTATAATTATATAAATATTTGTTTTTTATTTATAGATTTTTGTGTTTATACATTGCTGTTTAAGGACAGGGATCCTGTATGTTTTATACCCTAAATCATTGTGGCAAGGGACTCTCAAAATCTAAGCAACACCCCCTTAGAAAATAAAGTGGGCTTCCCCAAAGGCCACGGTATAGTTCGAACACTGTCTTATGCATTATCACAATGAAAAAACTCATAAATGTGTGGAACTACTTTACTGAGAATAAATTAAGTACATCAGTTCAGTTTTGGGTGAACCATCCCTTTAGCCATGTGTCCTGATTTCAAGCTAATACACAGAAAATAATCTGATGTTTCAGTGTTCTTTGAATAAATGAATATGAACTATGTAACAAGTCTGAAAGCAATTCCCTCAGTCATATGCACTATGTTTATTAGATTTTTGGTGCTGTGTCTATTTTTGCTCTAACATTCTTCCTAAAACTTCCTTCTGTGAAACGAAGGGAAAAAAAGGTTGAGTAGAAGCCAAAACACTTTCTCACCACTAGCTGGAGTACGAGAACAAAGGAAACATGAGGTCACAGGTTTGCTTAAGGGAAACAACTTGTTGTTCAACCAGAAGAACAAGAGCAATTTTACAGTTTCATCAACACAGTAAAGCAACAATGATCAATTATTTGAAATCCTGGTCTAAAACTCTGGTCTTATATATTATTCTGCTTTAATACTGCATTTAAATTACTTAATTCATTTCTTGTTGATCCCAATGTGGTCAGCAGTGAGGATGCTAAAAATTAGTTTCATGTCAAATGTTAGCCTCCAAACCAGGTCAAACAAGTCATGCTGCTCAAATAGCCCCGCCCACTCATATGTATCACATGTGATTGGCTTCATCGTCCTATTTCATTAATGATGGGAAACCAGTGTGAACTATAATCATGCGTTATCTAAATTGAACTGTAATAAGTGACTGAATTTAAAAAGGACAGTTTACTAAAATGTATTTATTATTATTTATCATATAAATCTGTCATTATTTACACACCCTCAAATGATTACAAACCTTTACGTTTTTTTTCTTCAGTTGAACACAAAAAAAGATATTTTGAAGAATGTTGGAAATAATGTTCACTGTATGCAGAAAAAAAAACTCAAAAAGTGATAGCAAGTTGGCAGAATTTAACTAAATATCTTCTATTGTGTTAAAAAGAAAGAAAGTCAGTTTAGGAGTAGTGGAGTGTGTGTAAATGGTAGAATGTTTGGGGGTGAATTTTAAGAAACATTAAAATCAACAACAAGAAAAGAGAAAGAGTAATAGATAAAGGAATGAAAGATATATATTTTAGAGCTCTGTGAAGTACTTTTTCTTTGTCCCAATACTGATATATGCATGTTAGTTGCAGACAGCCAAACCACAGATAAACTGTTCTAGCTATTTCAAATAGCTAAACAACCACAGAGGATCATCTTTTCAGTCCTGAGGAACTGTATGTTACAGCCGAGAGAAAGAGAGAGACGACATTCTTGTGCATGATGCAAATACCTATAACGTCATCTCATATCTTATTGCTTTTATAAAATGGCAGCAACAGTAACTTGATTAATGACACCAGTGTTCAATATTTACAAGAGGAATCATGTCCCTCTCCATTCTAAATCCAAAAGCAGCTCAAATGACAAAACAATAACTATTCTTACACATTTGCACATCTACGAATTATTAAAGTGACAGTTCACCCACAAAAATATGTTTTACTGACCCTGAGGGCATAAAAAACGGTGATGTTTTCTTGACTATAGCAATAAACATTTCTAACTTTGGTCCTTGGTAATTCATGAAGGCCCATGGCTATAGGGAAAATAAAATGAACTATTTGTTCTTATGAAGAAGCTAAACATTAATATTGAACATCTAAAAATTTTCAATGCAATTCAACTTTATTTCTATAGCGCTTAAGTTCAGTGTGATTTAATTTTCACTGCTGAAAGTCCAAACACTAAAGGGTAAATCCATCTATCTGCAGCTCCACAAATCCCCAAACCAAGCAAGCCAGTGGCAAGGAACAAACTTCACCAATAGACAAAAGTAAAGAAAAACAAAACCTTGAAAGAAGCCAAGCTCAGTTGGGCAAAACCATTTCTTCTCTTTCCAAACATTAGCAGTCGCAGGTATTAGTTTTGTTTTCAAGGTATATGGGTTTTTTTGACTCTCAAAGTGGTGGTGACCATTGAGTTTCATTATATGAATCACCAAGTACCAAAATTCAACTACAAATGTTCATTAATCTTCCACTGAAAGAACACAGTTAGTTTTGAATACCGCAAGGAGTAAATTGACCAACAAAGGCTCACTGGAAATACAACCCTCAGCCAATATTAACTGTTAAACTGCAAAATGTACTTTAACATCATGGAGAATCAGGAGAGACAGAAGAAATCAAACGAAGAAACAAATTATTAAATTTAATAATTGAATCGTTAAAATGTGTGTAAATCAGTGGGTAAAAAAAATACATCAATGCCTTTATAAATAAGTTTTAAATGTATGAATAGACAATTTTCTAAATGATTTTTAAATCATGTTTTAAAACACTGATTAATCAAACAACAAAAACATACATTTATAGACCATTTAAAATATCTTTTTAAAAAGCCATTTAAGTAGTGCATTTTAAATGCAATTGGCAAATGCTTTTCTCTCTCTG